CCAATACAATTATATATTTACAACAATAACTATATATATAAAAATGTAATAGAAAAATAATTTTTATAAACACTACATATCTGAGCAATAAAAATAACAGAAATATTAGATGTGAAAATGAAATAATTATGAGTAATTTTATATAACATATTTTATATCTCCTTTTTATTTATCAGCCACTCGATTTATAACAAAAAAAAAACAAAATAACAACCAAATCACCAATATTGAAATTAAAGTGAATCATAAGTGTCTAAACGATGTTTCTTGTGAATAATGATTCCAATAATTACGATAATTGCAAGTATAATTCCAATAATTATAAAGCCACCAACACATCCGACAATTACCCAGAATAAATCATCGCTAAATAAACTTTCACTTGAACTTGACTCTTGGAAACAAACATCAACAATACATTTATTATTGAACCTATCAAATTTATAACCAGGTTCGCAATATGAAGCAACACATTCAGTACTCCATTTACCATCATCTCCACAAATATGTCCTCCATGAGCATGTTCAACAGTAATATTATTGTCACAAGCACTGTCCACTTTAACAAGTCTTTTATTTAATGGATTACATTCACTTTGGTATTTCTTATAAATCTTTAATCCTTCATCAACGAATTGGTCAATTTTACTTGGGCTATACTTAAAAATGTTAACTCGTTCATCGACAGGATTTAAGACAAATTCTCTTGGAATAGTCTCATTGTAATTATAATTCCATTCAAAGGTTTCAAAGAATGATATTCTCATATATCCTCCTAATTCAGCAAGAACTTTAGCTTCATCCATAAAAACTTCGTCTTGAGTAATAACTGGAGTTGGTGAATTTCCAGCATCAAAACTTTCAAGAGATAATTCAGGATCACCTTCATAGCCAACGACAATAGCATTACCTTTATTTACCATTCCTTTAGCCAAAACACTACAAGCAGAATAACAAAATCCATCTGTCATTACAATAACATCAGTTGGATTTCTTGGATTTTTAACTAATTTAGCTTCGAGCATTGTAGAGGCATGCATAAGAGTGTTTTGAGAATAAACATGTTCAACATCTCCGTAGTGAGTTATTTTTGGTTGAGTGTACCATTCTCCTAATGGAACAGATTTGTTTGATTCATTGTAAAGAACTTGACAATTATCAGTATCATAAAGATATTCTCCATATTCGTTTTTCATACAACCTTCACTTCCTTTTGAAATTCTAACACTTCCAATTAGATCTACATCAGCGTGTGGTGCAAGGACTTGTTCAAAATTAGCTTCTAAATCAGCATATCCACCTCCATTCATTGGAAGGATAACAATAATAGGATTAGTATTTTCATCTATAGTTTTAATACATTTATTAAATACTTCAAAGAAATTATCAAATTCAACTTCTGGATAGAATGTCTTTAAAACAATAGTATTAACTTTCTTTTCTGAATCAAATTTACAAGCCAAATTACCATCAGATGATTCTAAATCAAAAACTTTATCAGATTTCTTATAAGTAACAAAATCTTCAATAGAAATTGGTGCAGTAGATCTTCTTTCTTTTTGTGAAATTTTTCTGGCAATATGTTCATTAAGTGTTTGTGGTGGAACATACACCATTTGGTATTGTGTTGAAATTGAGATGTCTCCTGTTAATAAAATATTAATAGGTTGTGAAAGAAATTCTTGTGAAAGAAGATTAGATCTTAATGAAACAAATGACATTGACTCAAGTGCATATGTAAATCTTCCATGTGGTGATTTGAGGAATGCATGATCTTCTGCCCATTTCTTTACAAATGTATGTGGTTTATCTCCATTGATTGATGTGATAATTTTACCATCATTATTTGTAATTTCTTCTGGAATTTTAACACCAAGAGAAGAGAGTTGAGAATTAGGATGAATAATATAATTACCATCAACAATATCAATTGTAAAAGGTAATGAGGCATAAAAATTATCATAATAATATGTGTTATTCTCATTTGAAGTTAAACGGAATGAAAGATGAAGGTCATGAGTTGTATCAACAATGTATTGAATTTTCTGCATAAATGGATAAACTGCTTGATCTTCAAGTAAAGGAAGAGAAGCAAGTTGAGCATCAATATCTAATGTTGGGAAGAACTTATTATCAAAAGATGGTTGTGGTGGGTTCTTCAAAATGTCTTTAAAAACATATGTTTGAAAGAGAGATTGTAATGAGTGTTGAATATTTGTTGCTTTTTCTAAAGAAAGACTAACAGAATTAATACATTCAAAAGCATCAATAACAGAATAAACTCCAGGGGTTAATTCTTTGCATTGAGTAGCAAATGCAACTGCGATTAATGTAGTTATAACGAGCATAAAGTAAGATTATAAATAAAAAGTAAGGGTTTTATGAGATACACTAAAACCCAAAGAAAAAGTTAAAAATAAATACTGTTTCTTTTCATTATTCTTTCTTCTAAAATATTGTTTGATTATTTTCATTTTTTTAATAATTTTTCTATAAAAATGTGTGTTATTCCCAAAAATATCATAAAAACTTTAATAATACATCAAAAAAAAAGAAAAACTCAAATGTATTAAAATTATAAGTTATGAATTTTTATGATTGTATAATACTTTGTTTTTCAATATTATTTTTGTTTCATATTTTTGTGTTAGATATCTTTGTAATTACTGTATAATTAATTCTTTTATTATCTTCTTTCTTTTTTACATTTTCTTTTCTTTTTTTTTATTATATGAAAAAAAAAATCATGGAGTTGATATTAAAATATGATGAAATGTATTTTATTAGTTAATATTCTTTATGTTCATAACATCAACAATTCTCATAATCAATTAGAATAGTGATTTTTTCATTATAAATGTAGTTTTTATTAAAAGAAACACAATAACTGTTTAAATATATTAAAGAACCAAATAGTTCTTAAAAAATAAATAATAAAATTAGACTAAGAATATTTCATAAATGAAGTGAGTTAATTAAAAATGGTTAGGAAATAGAATAGAGAAAGAAGAATAAAAAGTATAAATAATGAACAATAAATTATTCAATATTATTTATTATCATGGTTATACTATTATGTATACATCAAAACTAAGTGTAACATAAAGAATAAATAATTCCTATTAAAACTATGAATCACATAAATAATTATAAATATAAAAAAATGAAACAATAAATAATTAATCAATTCACTAATTGTATTTAAACAGAATGATAATAGATTACTGATATTATTAAAATAAATCTACATTCTTAACCTTTATTTCTGTGATTAAAAATTATTGTCTCATACTTTTTTGTTATTGTAATTTTCTAATTTGAAAAATAAATTGTTTTGTTAATGACATTTTAATGAAACAAAACTAACTTAGAACATTAACGAGAAAATATGTTTTGTTTTTGTCTGTTGAAAAATAAAAATTAAATAAGATAGTCCCATTAGGAAAAAAATAATACTTTGAAAAGACTCTTAGCGAATTAAAATATCTAAAATATATAGTTATTTTAACATTAAAGCTAATAAACTACAAAGAGGATTTGAATGAGGAATCTAAGAAGTATTTAAAAAAAAAGAATTAACTTAGATTTGATTCAAAAAAGATGACTGAAGCAGATATTAAACAAGTATTTGACATGATAGATACAGATCATTCTGGATATCTTGATATTGATGAATTTGTAAATGCATGTTCACAATTAATTGAAGGATGTGAAAAAGAAAGTGCAATTGCACTATTTCATATGGCAGACGAAAATGGAGATGGTAAAATGGATTTCAATGAATTTAAAAATATGATTGAATTTTATTTAAAGAACTCTGAAGAAGAAGATCCATATGTTTTATTATTTAAAAGATGTGATGTAAATGGAGATGGTGTTTTAGATAAGAAAGAAGTTTTTGATATTCTCCAAAGCATTGACCCAAATATTACAGTACAAGATATAAATGAAACGTTTGATATATATGATACTGACAAAAATGGTTCATTAGACTTTGATGAATATATGAAAATGGTTGAAGACATTAAATCACAATAATTGAATTTCTTTTTTTTTTGATGAAATAACAAAATTTAAATCAAAATATGTTATTTAAAGATTAAAAATAATCAGAGTCAAACTTAAAAGATACTTATTATTACATTAATGGAAACACTTCTTGAATTAAACAATGTAATGAAAATGGATATCAGTCGTGTATTTCGTGAAATTAAAACTGAACGTGATCCTCGAACAATTAAATCAAATGAAAAAACAATTGTATGTCAACATTGGTTAAGAGGAATGTGTAGAAAAGGAGCAAATTGTGATTTTCTTCATCGTTTAGATGAAGAAAGAACACCAGCTTGTCATCACTTTGTAAAATATGGAAAATGTGAGAAACCAGAATGTCCATTTAAACATGAAGATCCACAAAAGGCAATTCCTTGTGAATGGTATAAAAGAGGATTTTGTAAACATGGAAAGAAATGTAAACATGGACACGTCCCAAAATTAATGTGTCCTTTATTTTATCTTGGATTTTGTCCCTATGGTAAAAAGTGTAAATTTGTTCATCCAACAATTTCTGTTCCAAGAGAAACTATAGAAAAAACACAACCTAGAGGAGAACGTTTTCCTCGTGATGGAGATGACAAAAACGCAAACTTCAAACATGAATTTACAAAACCAAAAAGAGATTAATTTTTTGTTTTATTATCTTTATTCTCTTTTTTTTTTTGTTTTTTTGTTTTAAATCAAATTAAATATGAAATAGTTTTACTTAATAATAAAAATAATCATTATAAAAAAACCTAATAATATTTAAGGGAGATAGAATCTTAATTAAAATTGTGCAAGGGTTATCATGCTGAATACTTCTATAAAATTTTCGGTTTTCACAACCCTAAGATAATAATGGGAATACTTTTGATCAATACTCATTGTCTTGGTCATCCTTCTTTCCCAAGATTTTTATATTTTTCAATTTTATCTTATTATTTAAATAAATTATTTATTTAATGGAAAAACCTGTTGGAATAAATAATATTATTAATGAAGTTCAATGTAAAATAAAGGAAGTATATAATAAATTACCCAAAAAAGGAAAAGAACAAGAAAATGAATGGAGTGTTTTAGCTTCTCTTATTGCATTTGATAAACAAAAAAAAGAGTATGAAATTCTTTCTATAGGAACAGGAAGTAAATGTGTTACAAGCAAACAACATAACAGTAATATTATAAATGATTCTCATGCTGAAGTGATTTGTAAAAGAGCATTTCAAGTGTTTTTATTGGAACAAATTTCTAAAGAACAGTATATAGAAAAGGTAATTTCTAAAAGTGAAACAGAAGCAAAATGGAAATGGCGGTATGACAAATATGATTTGATTTTTTATATAAGCCAAGTCCCATGTGGTGATTGTTGTATCTCAAGCAATGGAACAATTAATAAAGACATTGAAACTGGAGCAAAAAGGATTATAAATAATTCTATAGAACAAACTATTGCCTTATGGGAAGAAAAAGATATCAAAGATGGTATTGGAAAGACAAGGATTAAACCTGGAAAAGGAGAAAAGTCATTAAGTATGTCATGTAGCGATAAAATATTGAAATGGGAAGTTCTGGGTATTCAAGGAGGAATTTTGGCTAATCATTTTGAAATGATAAGACTTAATCTTATTATTATAGAAAAGCCAGCAGATGAAGATGCAGTCATGAGAGGAATTCATTTAAGAACAATACAAATGAACACTTTATTCACAGAAAAAAATTACAAAGTTAACATTCCACCTTTTATTTATTTAAGTCAACCAAGTTATCTTGTAAAACACAAAACTGAAGGATTGTCTGCTGCTGGTGGTTCCATTAATTTTATTAATGGAATGAATGAAGAAGTCACATTAGGAGCACGAGGTGTTAAGTTTGGTGCAGGAAAAAAAGTTGTTGATTCTCAAAGAAGTCGTTTGTGTCAAATGAAAATAAGAGAAAAGTACAGTGATGTATTTCATATTCAAAAAGACAAAATACATCCAGATGATGAATATTATAAAAGAAAAGTATTTTTCAAACAATGTGTTGAAGGAGGATGGACAATTAAATAAATATTATTTATGTTATATAAAACGAATTTAAATTATTTTTAAATAAATTGAGTTTATATAAAAAAAAATATCAAACAATTGGGACATAATGAAAAATCACTTTCAAATAAAAAAAAATAAAAGAAGTAGAACCTTTGTTATTTACGAAAAAAAAGAAAAACAAAACAAAAAGAAAAAATAAATACAAAATCATCAAAAAGTTGTAATAAAAAGGAAAATCATAAAAAAACTAAAAATCAAATTTAAGTTTTACTTAAAAGGAAATGCCTAAACAAAGTAGAAAGAAAATTAAACAAATAAAAAGTACTATGACTACCAAACCTAACACTACTAATGTAATAGGAAATATATCTGTTTGTTGTATTATTTTTTATTTAATAAATAAAAAGTATTAATATATTAGGAAAATATTCTTCACCAAGAATTAAATGAACGTAGAAATGGTATTATACAAACTAATGGTCATCTTCCATCGTTAGAAATGTCTGTTGGAAATGGAACTCAAGTTAAATTAAATCAACCAGGAAATACCCAACCTATTCAATTTATTCCTCAAATGATCCCTGGTCAAAATCCTCAAATGATTCATACAATACAAGGACAACATTTCATCAATCATTCAAATGAACTTTTTAAAAATGCTTATCATATGATCCCTTCAACTACTTTACAAAATGGAGTTCATCAAGTTCAACCTCAACAACCTCAAGGACAACAACAATTTCAACAACAAAAAGTATTTTCTTTTCAACAAATGCCTCAAGGAAAAGGACAACCTACAATCCTCTACCAAAACCCAACATATGTTATACCAACTGGACCACAAAATCAACGAATCGTTGAAGCTCTTGCTGGTCAAACTCAATTAATTCAACAAAATAATATTAACAGACAACAAGAACAAACTCAAAGAGTTTCTATGCCTACACTTAATGGTCAACCAAATATCACAACAATACCTAATGGTATTCAACAAATTAAAGTACAACCTCAACCTATCTCAATGAGAAATGTAATTGGAATAACAATGCCTCCTGCTTATTCTACAATTCAACCTAACCCAAATGTTAGAAATATACAAAATTTCCAAAAAATAGTACCAACAAGTACTCTTCAAAATACAACTACAGGTCAACCAATTCAACAGCCTCAAATATTACAACAAATTAATCCTCAACTTCAACAAAATTTAAATCAACAACCCCAACACACTATACCCCAACAACTCTCAAGTAATATTATAAATACTCAACCCCAACAACAAACAAATAAACAACAACCCATCACTAATCCAAACCAAAATACATTTCAAACTATAAATTCTAATTCTGGTCAAAGAGTTTTATTTGCTTACCCTTCTTCAAATGTTATGCTTAATCCAAGTATAATGTTACAACCAGTAAAAGAAAATGGAAATACTATTCCTCAACAACAAAGTGGGTTACGATTTGCTCCAACACAAGCCGCACAATTAAATGTCAATCAAACTGCTCAATTGAATCAAACACAAATAAATCCTCAACAACCAACACAAATAACTCAACCACAACAAAGAATTCCTGCTCCTATTCAACCTAATTTTAAACAACGAAATCAACAAGAGTTCCAAACAAGTCAAAATGTTTCAAATATAACAACAATTAACACTCCTGTTATTGGACAGTTTACCTATAATCCAATAGCTCCTCATTTTCAGTTTCAGCAACAACATCAAAGACCAATCCAATTTGCTCCAGGAGGATTCCAACCTACAATCCCTGAAACAAAAAAAGTAATAGAAACAACATTTAGACCAGGAAATACAAATCCTAAATTTATTTTGAAATCAAATGGAGAGAATATAGATTCTTTTACCATTCAACAACAACTAGATTTACATAGTAATTTTATGGCGCCTATGGCACAAGGATTAAATAGAAGTATTGGTGTAAATCCAAAAGGATATGTCATTGCTTCACCTCTACCACCTAAAGTAACAACTCCATCAGTAAAATCATCAACCCATAATATGTCAATAGGTGTTAAAGAGGAAGATAGTAGATCAAAAACTGGTAGTGTTGTTTCTTCAACTACAGGAAAAAGAAAGAAAAAAGAAAATAAAAAAGTAATGGAATCACCTCAAAAACCAAGTTTAGCTGATGAACATAGAAATGAATTAAAGAAAATGATGACAAGTAATTCAGAGTCAATTGCTGTATTTGTTAAAGAACATCCTAAATACAACGACCAATTTGAAGAAACATTAAAAGAAATAGCTAGATATTGTAATATGTATCAATTCTTTGGTTATGAATGTAAAGAAGATAAAGTAATTGTAACTAATGCATTAAGTCAAATTCTTAAAGACCCTAAATTGGTTCTTGTGTTTAAAGTAAATACTCCAGTTGATGAAAAATGGGGATTTGCTAAACCATTCTTTTCTAATGATGAAGAATTTAATGATGAAACTATTGATGCTAAAATGCAAAAAGATGAAGGTGGTGTAGTTCATTTTCTTGACCTATATTATGATTATACTAAACAATTACTTGGTGGAATTGAAGCATCAATAACACCAACACCTGCATGATTTTGTTTTTACTTATAACACAAATATTAATTATCTTATTGGTATTTAAAACATATTAATTTTAAGTTATTTTAATAAAAATAAAATAAAAATACAACAAAGAAATCATTTGAGTGATAATTATAACTAAAAACGATGGAATGATAAAAAACCTATGTAAAAACAAAAAAAAATTAATAAAGTTATTAAAAAAATATGTCAGGAAAAAGACCACAACAAGAACTTTTACATCATGCTAAAAAACCATTATACAAACCGAAAGACCCTGCACATCCTAATCTTCAAATAGGAAAAAGTATAAATAAAAGAAAATTAACATTAGCACCAAAACCTGTATCAATGCCAAAACTAACGTTGGCTGCTAATGAAGTTCAAAACACATTACATAAAAATGTTAAAGTAGTTGGAGGACATGAAGTTCATATTCCATCATTTTTAAAGAAAAAACAACTTCAAATACAAAAGTCAAAAAGCCTTCGTAACAGTCTTAAAAAAAGTTTACAAAGAAAGTCAAAATCTTCTTTAAAGAGAAAAAGTCTTTCTTTAATAAAAAAAAGTATTAGTTTAAAGGAACAAAATAAAAAAATAGTTACAGTACAACCAATGGAATCAAATCCTATTGACTTAAATCAACCTAGTCAAATAGAACCAGTAGACTTAAGTCAACACAGTGGCTTTATTAGTAACGAAACTCCAGAAAACAAAGCTGGTTCAAATAAACTTAGTTGTTTAGATTTATCTGAAACAGATCAAAATGAAAATCATCAAATAAAACTTCCCGTCTTTACTAATTTTAATGCAACACCAATTAATCAAGACATTCAATTATCAGATGAAGAAAAAGAAGAGATAAAAAAACAAATTGCTAAAAGAAAAAGAAGAAGTTCTTTAACACCACTTGATCGCGAGGCAATGAGAAAAGAAAGGTTATCTTCTGGAATTAATTCAAGAGAGTTAAATCTGCAAAAATATCGAGAATCATTTTCAAAGAGAAAAGAAAGAGCATCAGCAAGTATGATTGAAAATAAGTAAATTTTTATTTAAAAGACACTACACACCCATATTTACCTTTTTTAGTTCTTTGAGGATAAATACACTCTAAAATAAAATCATTTTATATCCTTTTTATTGTGTATTATTTTCTTTCTTTTGTTTATTTGAGCAATTTCTCTTACTTAACATCTTTTTTTGAATTTTTTCAATGTATTGATCAATTTCATTTGCTTCCATTTCATCTGGGAGATAAATCTCTCTAGAAATATTTAATTGAGCACTTTCAATAGGAACACAATTATTGACCTCATTGTTTACACCAAAAACTTCTTTTAAATACTCTACTCGAGACATATCAGTAATTTTAGGAGATTTAATTTGTTTATTTTTTTTCGGCTTCTTTTCATCGTTGTTTTTTTCTTTATGGTGTTTACTGTTTTTCTTAGACACTTCATCATTTTTGAAACATTCAAATTCTTTCATGTGTTGATCTATTTTATTATAAATATCATTTTGCTGTTGCTCTAAAATAATTAAATGGTTTTTAATTTCATCGAGAGTATTAAGTATTTTGTTGGTTTGTTCTTGAACAGTTTGTAAAGAAGGTTCTGTACAATGAACTGATTTTGGTTGACTCGGTTGACAACCCATAAAATCTAAAGATTTTTAAGATAAAACAAAAAGAAAAGATTTTTCTTAAAAAAATTCATGAAAAGAGGAAACCCTAAAACACTTTTTTTCAATAAAAAAATACAAAAGTTAAAATAAATAGTAAAATAAATTAAAAAAAGCTATATTAACCCTTTCAGTAGAATAAAGGAAAGAACCCTGAACTAAGAAAAGAATCAGTGAGACCATGTCTGGCAAGATGA